TTGCACTGTTTCAAGTTATTTGTACCAATGATTGCACTGTTTCAAGTTTGTGTTTCAAAACTTTTTCTAACAATAATTAATAAACTTCCGCACTTGATAGGATTATTTATGTAAAGGTTTCTATGCTAATAACCTAAAGTTTTAAGATCTCATACTGGGTCACTTTTAAAAATTTTTTTTTATCATATTGGTAAATAAATAGAACACTGTTTTTTGTTTTCTAACAGCTCGTGTTTATACTTACAGAGTGATATGGTTAGTTGTGTGGTCAGCAGTTTTGTTGTTCCTCATCATCGACACCACCGACAATAGACATCGAATGGTGTCAGCGACTGGGCTGATTGTGTTATTACTATTTGGCTACATATTCTCAGCTAAAAGAGCGAAGGTGGGCTGCGTTCGAAATCACGACTTTATAAACAAAATATCTAACGTATGCTGATATTAGGTTAATTTTGGCAATTAGCTTGACATGTACATTTTACAATATCATATAACTTGTGAGCGATTTGATTGGATGTGGCCTGTGAAGAAATACGTTTAATATGTAGAACAGCACCAAACGTTAGCAGGACGTGTTATCGGGAAAACCAGATGTGTTGCGTGAGTACGAACACATGTGGTAGAGACATATGATCAACTTCGTTGTTGTTTAATCAAAGCCACATTAGGCTATTTTCCGTGTCCACTGCGGAACCCCGAATTTTATCGTTTTAAATCCGTAGACTCACCGCTGTCCTACCGGGCAATCAACCTCGTAACAAACGTGTTAAAGTTCAAGATAGGGTCAGATGCATACACTTGCTACGGCTTATTTGGTCAAAATACAGTCGTTTGAAAATGGTTAGTGGCTTATGTATGAACATTATCCTTACAGAGATCACGCCTTAGTAGGTTTATGAAACGCACATTCACTGTTTACCATACCTACCGGAAATGGCATTTCTTAACATATACATGGATGTTTGCTTCAACAATACAGCTACTTAAAATGTTATAACGTAACTTTACATTTCCAGGAAATTTTGTTTGAATGAATCATACAGGAAGGATAGCATAATGTTTAAAAGTAGGTCTCTCTCTCTCTCTCTCTCTCTCTCTATATATATATATATACTGATATTCGGTAAACCACTCTCATGTGGCAACTGTTTCGCAACGTTCAATACGTTTCCGAACTTAGTGGTTGGATTCATGCAAACAACGTAATACATAATCATGTATGTAGGTTTTCTTATAGCAAAGCCACATCAGGTTATCTGCTGTGTCCACCGAGGGGAATCGAACCCCTGATTTTAGCATTGTAAATCCGAAGACTTACTGCTATCCCACCGGGGGGACACCTAATCATGTATGTAGGTTTTCTTATAGCAAAGCCACATCGGGTTATCTGCTGTGTCCACCGAGGGGAATCGAACCCCTGATTTTAGCATTGTAAATCCGAAGACTTACTGCTATGCCACCGGGGGGACACCTAATCATGACTATAATATCAGGAAACTGAACAAAACAGAACCATCTCGCAGGTTTATTTTTGAATCTACATAGATCGTTGTTTTACAGAACTAACTCCTATATTTATTAAGTTGAGAAATGTGGTTATCATGCTAACATTTTGGGTTCTATTCCTGCAGTGGGCACAACGCAGGTAGCCCATTGCGCAGCTTTAGGCTTAAACTTTGAATTTATTCATTATATGAAGCCCATATGGTTGCAGTCGTCGTGCGTGCTGCTTAGCACTATAGTTTGTGACTTGGATATTTCTGTTTTTGAAATAGTGTGTGCTGCTTAGCACTATAGTTTATGATTTAGATAGCACTATAGTTTGTGACTTGGATATTTCTGTTTTTGAAATAGTGTGTGCTACTTAGCACTATAGTTTATGATTTAGATAGCACTATAGTTTATGACTCGGATATTTCCGTTTTTGAAATAGTGACTCGAACATTAGTGGCTTGGGAGCGACCCAGAGGTTAGCGTACCGGACTGTGGTTCCGCGCTTGGCGCCCCGTTAATAATAACAAAAATCGTACTCCGCACTTTTGTTTCCTGGTTTTCTTCCCTCTATCTAATCTATCACTTAGCCTTCCCTCTAGTGACTAGTCTATCACTTAAAAATTAGGGACGACTAGCGCAGATAGCTCCCGAGTAACTTCGCACGAAATTCAATGAACAAGAACATCGAATATTTGTTTTGGTGTTGAGATGGTTTTATAGAGAATGTTCCATCAGAATATGGTTGTTGTTAAAGTATCTGCCACTAGTATGAAGATGCGCAGTGTATTGCAATAGTTTTCCTACTTCGTTGGTGTTTCGTATCTGCGGCTAGTTAGTGTTACGAACTCATATCTCTAATAAAATCCAGTGTTTCATAATTTTCTTCTGACAAATTATGTATCTCTGTTTTATAGATTCCAGGATTCGTTTTCGACCAGTTTAAGTCTCGAGTGTCATTGTTGGAGACGACTCTCTGTGGTAGACTCTGTTTACACTTCCATTTTTACGCTCTGTCATTGTAAAAAAATAATTAAAGTCTGTGCAGTATAATATGATTTTATCATTGTCAATAATAATGACAGCTTCTCTTTCAAAGGAAAAAGAGTACGTTACAAAAGTAGGTCTGAGAATTTACGAACTGATTAAGAAAAACAAATAAAACTCAATAATGGGGCGGAAGGGTGGCCTAAAAATTTTCAAGTACCCTTCACTAAAAAACAAAACAACACACGCACCAGAAATAAAATCTATAGAACTTTGCTATTTCGTGGTTTTTAATGTATTTTGGGTGTAGCTTCCAGGATAAAAAACAACAACAAGTAATAAACGAATGGACGAAGGCTAATGTAAATTTGGTTAACCGATTGTGTATGCTTTTATGAATTTACTTGTAGTACGAGTATTGTAAAACGTGTGATGATTTCATACGAACCTTAATATATTCGAATAATACTAACACGAAGGAAAATGTTAATTATAATCACTTCTTTTGCACCTAGAAACGTCTATATCCCTTTGTGTGATATTTATGTGCAAATTTATACTAAGGCCTGGCATGGCTTGTTTGTTAAGGCGCTCGACTCGTAATTTGCTGATTGCGAGTTCGAATTTCGTCACCGAACATGCTCGCCTTTCCTGCCGTGAGTTAGCGGTGAGTCATGTTGTCTAGTCTATCAATGGTGAATTAGGAACGGCTAGCGCAGATTGCTCTCGAGTAGCTTTGCGGAAATTCCAAAATAAATAAATACACCGACAAATTAGTAGTTATATAATATTTTAACCTTTGATATGAGCTAACAAATAACCTTCACAGTACCAACCAACTTTCATATAATAATTTTGCGTTCTAAGCACATCCACTTCCAGTTTTTGTTAGCCCTAAAGGTATTTGAGAGACAGTATATTGTTTTTTCAACTCGAACATCTTTATCGCCCCCCCCCAGTGGCACAGCGGTCTGTCTGCGAAC